ATCCTAATAGCTCCTCCCTGGGGCTCTGACAAATTATCCAGAGATGGGAAAAAGGTAACTATTGCCTTTATTATTTTTTCATATTTTAAATATGTGGGTTTTGTTTTTGCTACATTTCTCATTTTCCTATTATTCTCTATTTTAAAGCCAAGTTCTGAAGTTTTCTGAATAAACTGAGGGTTCAGATTACAATTTGAGTATAACTATTCATCATTCAATATCACTGTTTCCCCCTTAGTTTATGAGACTCTGCTGAGAGTTTTACCAACTTTTGTAGGTTGACTTGTGAATAATCAAGTTTTTGCTTCATTTATACCATAGGAAGAGCTGAAAAATATTATGAATCCCTGAACATAAGACTTTTATAGCATATTAAATCACTGTTGCAATACATTTGATTCACTACATTAACAAACTAAAATATAAAAAAAATGTGGTCTTAATATATTCAGAAAAACATTGACAAATCCTACTTACAGTTCTGATTTTGTTTGTTTGTTTGTTTGTTTTTGAGTTGGAGTCTTACTCTGTCGCCCAGACTGGAGTGCAGTGGCCGCTGCCGGCCACTGCAGCTTCGACCCACTGGGCTCCAGCGATCCTTCCACCTCAGTCTTCCGAGTAGCCGGAATTACAGGCGTGCGCTACCACGCCCGGCTCATTTTTGATTTATTGTAGAGATGAGGTCTCACCAAGTTGCCCAGGCGGGTCTCGAACCCGCGGGCTCAGGCAATCCACTCACCTCAGCCTCCCAAAGGCGTGGGATTACAGGCTGAGCCACCAAGCCCGGCTTTAAAAAAAGTTTTTGTAGAGATGAAGTCTCACTATGTTGCATAGGATGGTCTCAAACTCCTGAGCTCAAGCAAACCTTCTGGCTTGGCCTCACAAATTGCTGAGATTACAAGGGTGAGCCACCGTGCCTGGTCCACACCACTATATTTCCTGGGGCCTTCCATTTGGCTAATCTGGTTTGGAGATGGGATGAGAAGGGTGAGCCACCAGGGAGATCCAAGGTTCTGGAGTCCCCAAACTCTGCTCAATCCCACGAAAGAGACAACAGGGCTCCCCTGAGGCCAAATAAAGGCAGGGATCATGAAGATAGGAGAGATCTGGGGAGCAGAAACTGGTGGACCAGGCATGATGGCGCAGACCTGTGGTCCCAGCTACTTGGGAGGCTGAGGAGGGAGGATCGCTTGAGCCCAAGAGTTTGGGGCTGCAGTGAGCTATGATGGCACCTGTGGATAGCCACTACACACTAACCTGAGCAACACAGTGAGACTCAGCCTTAAAAAAAATTTTTTTTAAAAGATGAAGCCTAGGGATAGGTGGAAGGTTGGGGGTCAAGCCACATACAGGGACTACTGGGACAGCATCAGTTCCCTCCTTTGTAGCTCCTGTGGAGATTCTGCAACAGCAAGCAGATGAGGCATTGCCCCAGGACCTGACTCTCCAGCCCTGCCCTCTGCACTGGCCCTGTCTGCACTACAGTCCCCCTTTGCTCCTTCCTCCATCTGCTTATCCTGTTTACCTCTACTCACCATCCTCTGTCTCTCTTGTTCCTGCTGGGGAAGGAGGCAGCCTCAGGGGGTATGCTGGGAGCAAGAGGGGGACACCTGGGCCTTGATGAGCCCTGCACCCTTATTTATTTCTCTGGCAGGCTTCCAAGGCATTTGAAGACACAGCTGGCAGGCCCAGGTATGGTGGGGACAAGGTATTAGGAGCAAGTGAGAAGCAGAACCCAGGTATTGCTGGGGTAGGCAAGCAGGGCGATTCTACTTGGCTAAGCCTTCACTCAGCAATCCCTCTACCACGACTGGCCCTCACCTGTCTTTGAGACTTTGCACTGGTCTGTTCCTCCACCTGAAACTTCATCTCCATCTAGACTCTTCTGGGCACCGCCCACTTGTCCTGCACACGGACTACTCTCTGCAGTGTGGGTCAGGGGAGAGGGTATGGGGGACTAGGGGACATCAAGCTGGTTGTCAAATATAGTGGTGTAGACCAGGTACAGTAGCTCATGCTTGTAATCTCAGCAATTTGGGAGGCCAAGGCAGAAGGATTGCTTGAGCCCAGGAATTTGAGACCATCCTAGGCAACATACTGAGACTTTATCTCTACAAAAAAATATAAAAAATTAGCTGGGCATGGTGACATGCACCTGTAGTCACAGCTACTCAGAAGGCTGAGTTGGAGGGATCCTCTGAGCCCAGGACGTCAAGGCTGCAGTGAGCCATGATCGTGCCACTGCACACCAGCCTGGGTGACAGAGTAAGACAGTCAACTCAAAAAATATACATATGTAATGGTGCAGAGAGAGGCATGTTTCACCAGTAAAGAGGGGAGGGTGTTCCTCGTGAAGGGAGGGTAAAGAGAAGGTAGAGGGTATGGTTAAGGTTGGAGGGTTAAGGTTATTGTACTTGCCTTTAAAGAACTTCTATCCAACCTGGGGGTAATGGAGAGCTACTGAGGACTATGGTGCAGGGCAGTAATGAGACCTAAGTGCCCTTAGAAGCTTCTTGTTAGCTGCATCTGCAGCAGAAAACCACTCAGACAAACTCAAGCAGAGGCCAGAATCCCAGGGGGCACTGGACTGCACCTTTCAGGGTAGAGCAAGAAATGTGACTGTCCCAGCTTCAGCAGAGCCTAAAGGCAGTGCCAGGTATTTGTCCCCAGTGGTCAGAATAGGGTGAGCAGGGGACATAGGAGAACCGGTAGAAGTTCTCTGTTTGGTGATCTTGTCTTAGAATCCATGGGAGGAGGGGCACCATAGAAAGTCAGAGCTCCTTCTAGGTGACCTGCCCCTGCTGCTTTAGACACTCAGAGTGTAAATTCATGAAGCTGGCAATGGTGGAGATGAGGTAGGTGGGATACATGAAAGACCTGGGCATTACACCCTGTACAGTGAGCTCTGTTGCAGAGGGTCAGGCTATGGGAGGACGTTGTGCCCATGGGTCCTTGGCAAGGAGTGTTGAGGTCTATTTTGCACCAGCTGGCAGAGCAACTTTCCCATCCTCCCCCGAGCTTGTGCCATTAGGGATGGCAGACCAGTGGGAAGGAGGGTCATGAAACTGGGACCTGGGCACTGCAGGGAGTGGGCACAGGCCACAGCGGGCTCAGTCTTCTCCTCCTACCATCCACTATGCTGGACTCTCCCCAGGCCAGCACCTCAGTGATGCCTTTGCCCAGGTGAACCCCCTGAAGAAAGTGCCGGCCTTGAGGGACGGGGACTTCACCTTGACTGAGAGGTAACTGGGACCCAGGGTCTGTGGCCAGGCCTTACTGAAACCATCTGCCCTAACTCTCTATTTGTCAGACAAGAAAATTCAAGTCCTCAGAGGCAAAGGGCCTCTCTGCCCCACATCCCACAGAGAGCTGGGCCTGGAACCCCAGTCCCTGCATGCCTGCTCTTCTGGTTTACTCAGATGGCTGGAAAAGCAAGCAACTGCCATACTTTCCTACCAGTGTGGTTGCTGGTGAGAGTACCCCTGAGGCAGGGCAGGGGAGGCTGGTGGCTCTACCTGCCATTGGGTAGTCTTCTGGGCAAGCTTGTGTGGAGATGGCTCAATGGCATCTGGGCTGCCTGGTGGCTCCATGTCTGGGCTGTGGCTTCCCTTGGTAGGTCTCCCCTGTGGGAGACAGGTAGATGTTTTACATCACAGCAGGTCCCAAGTAGCTGAAACCTCTTCAGGGAAGGCTGAACCTTTTCTGCCCCTTTTGTCACCTGAGTCACCCATCCCATGACAAGGAAAACTTGGAGCCTGTGATTTAGATCTCTGACGTCCTGGGATGGATATACCTCTGATGACTTCCTCTGACATTCTGCCAGCCCCATTTTTCCCTCCTGGTGTCCTGGATGTCCTGAGTCCTCATGTCGCCTCAGTGTTGAGTGCCTGGGGTACAGAGTACAATCCCTGCATTTATCTGTCACCACTCTCACCCTTGGGAGCTCTGTGGTTCATAGGGACCCTCCTCAGAGGTGGTGTAAACAATGAGCTGGGAGCAAAAGGAGCTCAGAGCACCCTGCATGGACAATTAAGTCACTAAACTGGGACACATGCAGCCCATGTGGGCCATGGCAAATACAGAGATTTCCACCCTTTTGACTGGGGTGCCCAACCCTTGGAGTCTCCCAAGTTCCTGAAAGCTTTCCTATAGCTCCAGATTGACACATCCTCAGTGTCCTTCCAGGTCTGTCCCTGTCCCAACACCATGGCGGCCCTCATAACCCAGAACTGGAGGAGAGCACCAGGGGCCTTCTCTGTTCCATTGTTCCAGGCTCTTGTAGCTCCCCCTAGTGTTTCCTGGGTGATGCTTTAGGGAGCCAAACTACTTCAGCTGCTTTAGATAGGAACTGATTCATAGTAGAAAAGATAACATAAAGAACAAAGGGATAACAAGAATGTCTTTGAAGTATCAGACCATTGGAAGCTGGTCTGAAATGTTAGAGGAGGACAGTGGATGCAAACTGGAGAGAACTGAACTTCCTTAGGGCTCAACTTTGATGCCATCTCCTCTGGGAAGCTCTTCCTGGTCCTCTGACTGTAAACTGTCTCTGGACACTTTGTGGGACACTCGGCTGTGGGATTTTGCCTGATGGTAGAACAAGTTTGAGTATTAACCTCAGAAAGACTCTCAGCTCTGCCTTTAAGGGTTGCATGCCCTGGGACAAGACTCTTTGCCTTTCTAAGGCTGGTTTCCTTGTCTGGAAAATAATGCTAAAACCTTGGCAGATTGTCAGGAAGATTAAAGAAGCTACTGTGTATGAAGTCCCTAGTGCAGTGCCATTCCCTCACCTATGTCCCCCTGCCACCCACAGTGTGGCCATCCTGCTCTACCTGACGCGCAAATATAAGGTCCCTGACTACTGGTACCCTCAGGACCTGCAGGCCCGAGCCCTTGTGGATGAGTATCTGGCATGGCAGCACACAGCTTTGCGGAGAAACTGCCTCCGGACCCTGTGGCATAAGGTGAGGCCAGAGGGATGAGGGTAGGAGTGAGGGCATCACCCCAAAGATGCTCAGGCACCATTCATTCTACTTTTCAGTTTGGATAGATAGTTTCTCCTGACCTGTCTTTGACTTCATTGATTCTTTCCTCTGTTGTGCCAGGTTGTCGTTGAGTTCATTTAATACGTTCTTTGTCTGAGATATGTATTTTTCAGTCCTAGAAATTCCATTTGGTTTTTGTTGTTTGTCTGTTTTTTGGTGCTTTTTAGAGACAGGGTCTCCCTGTGTTGTCCAGGCTGGAGTACAGTGATCATAGTTCACTGTAGCCTTGAACTCCTGGGCTCAAGCCATCCTCCTGCTTCAGCTTCCCAAAGTGCTGGGAGTACAGGCATGTATCACCATGCCCGACTCATTTTTTCTTTTTATAGAGATGGGGTCTCACTATATTGTTCAGGCTGATCTCGAACTCCTGGGCTTAAGCAACCCTTTTGCCTTGGCTTCTCAGAGTGTTGAGATTGCAGTTATGAGCCAACATGCCCAGTCCCACTTAGTTTTTTAGAGTTTCCATTTCTCTGCTGAAATTCACCATCTGTTCATCCATTGAATCTATCTTTTCTTCTAAGTTATTTAACATATTTACCACTGTTACCTAAAAGTTTTTGTCAGCTAGTTTCAATACCTGGGTCCTCTCTATGGGTCTGTTTCTATTAATTGTTTTTTTTCCCCTCTTGATTATGGGTCACATTTTCCTGCTTCTTTGCATGCCTCATAATTTATTATTATGTGCCAGCCAGTACATACAAAAGAAGAGTCGAGATTAAATTATGTTATAAATACCCCCAAGAAAGGGCTTGCACTTTCCTTTGTCAGACAGCCAGGATGTGAGGCTATTCTCTTCTAGCTAATCAAGAGGTGGGCTGAGTTGTGGCTTTGGTTAGTTTCAGTTTATCTCTGCTTTCAAATATCTTGAACGTGGGATCAGGTTGCTAGCTCACTCCAGCAGGGCTTTAGAATCTAATCCCAGTTACCACTGTGCCTCTAAAGTCTCTCTGCTTTGAGTCCCTGCCCCCAGTCCCCACACTGCTGCTTAGTCAGAAAAGCCCCTGTGGCAGTCTTTCTCCATGCCAGCTTGGGCCCAAGTGAAATTGGAATGAAAGTGGCTTATCTAGGAAGGCCTCATGACTCTCTGGAATTTAGTTCAGTTTGTCAAATGCTGTCCAATAGAAGTTTAAAGTGAGCCACGTATGTAATTTTAAACTTTCTAGTAGACATAGTTAAAAAATAAAAAGAGGCTGGGCACCATGGCTCATCCTTGTAATCTCAACACTTTGAGAGGCCGAGGCAAGAGGATTGCTTGAGCCTAGGAGTTGGAGACCAGCCTGGGCAACATAGCGAGAACTTGTCTCTACAATAAAGCAAAATTTAAAAATTAGCAAAGTGTGGTCATGCATCCCTGTAGTCCCAACTACCAGGAGGCTGAAGTGGAACAATTGCCTGAGTCCAGGAGGCTGAGGCTGGAGTGAGCCATGATTATGCCACTGCACTCCATCCTGGGTGACAAAGTGAGACCCCAACTCAAAAAAAGAAAAGTTCTTAACCCATTATATTCAGAATATTATCATTTTTGTCCAAGAAGCACATGGAAAGATGCTCAGCATCACTAATAATTAGGGAAATGTAAATCAAAACTAACTCCCTTCTCCCCCAACTCCCCACTTTGCCTGCCCACCCCCTAGGTGATGTTTCCTGTTTTCATGGGTGAGCCAGTATCTCCTCAGATGCTGGCAGCCACCCTGGCAGAGCTGGATGTTACTCTGCAGTTGCTTGAGGACAAGTTCCTTCAAAACAAGGCCTTCCTCACTGGACCTCACATCTCCCTGGCTGATCTGGTAGCCATCACAGAGCTGATGCACGTAAGTGCTGTGGACAGGTGGGCCTGCTGGACAAGGGGCCCTGACTGGTTGCTGATTCCTGCTTATGCTGCACCCATCCTCCCCCAACTCTGGTAATGTGCTTGTGTGTGGAAACCCTTTCTGGAACTCTGTGGTCTACAAATCGGGCAGATGCTGCCTGTCCTTGACCTTACCCATTCATTCCTATTCCATACCCTTCTTCCCACAGCCTGTGGGTGCTGGCTGCCAAGTCTTCGAAGGGCGACCCAAGCTGGCTGCATGGCGGCAGCGCGTGGAGGCAGCAGTAGGGAAGGACCTTTTCCGCGAGGCCCATGAGGTCATTCTGAAGGCCAAGGACTTTCCACCTGCAGATCCTACTACAAAGCAGAAGCTGATGCCCAGGGTGCTGGCCATGATTCAGTGATCTTGAAAACCCCACTCCTGTGCTGCCCTCAGCAACTTACAAAGCATCTTTGTTACCAGTGTCCCATGGGAAGCAGGCCTAGGAGCAGGAGTAACTTGCCTGAGACTTGCCCGAGTTCAACAGCACCTCAGCCCCCCAGGCCACCACCTCCACCTTGTCTTCCACAGCTGTCTGAAAGCCACAATGAGAATGACGCACACCCAAGCCTTGCCTCCCTTAATCACTGCATTTCATTTTAAGTTTGGATAATAAATCTAACTTCCGCCTTAGCCTCTGCTTCCAACTCTGATGTGTGATTTATTTGATCTTCCTCTGTCCTGGTCCTGATCTTGGATTCTGTTAAAAAGACAGTCCCTTTTCTCAGATCCTGTGAGTCAGCTTCTCCCTGAAGGTTGCCAAGAGTGAAATTAACAAATGACCTGTAGTCTTCTAATTCTTGGAGAAAGTTATTTCTCTGACAGCACAGGGGTCCGCAGGCATCCACATGTGTTGGCTATAGGTATGGTGACCCATCAGTTGGCTGAGTTAGCCTCCTAGGACATGGCCCTTACTGATTGTTAGTTATGAGTCCTGCATCTCTCCTGAGGAACTGGTCAGGAGGAGAAAATCTAAATAGCAGCTCTCCTGATCAGGATCCAGTTATAGTTATAAATGCTATGCCTAGGGGCTTGGCTGTAAACTGTAAATAGGAATGAAATGATCTGATTGTGTTTTAGAATAATATTCTGGGCCAGATGTGGTGGCTCATGCCTGTAATCCCAGTACTTTGGGAGGCCAAGGCAGGGGGACTGCTTGATGTCAGGAGTCTGAGACCAGCTTGGGCAACATAGTGAGACTCCCATGTCTACAAAAGAAATTTCATTTTTAAAAATTAGCTAGGCATGGTGTCATGTACCTGTAGGCCAAGCTACACTGAATGCTGAGGTCAGAGGATTACTTCAGCCCGGGAGTTTGAGGCTGCAGCGATCATGTGATCATGCCACTGTTCTCCAGCCTAGGTGACAGAGTGAGACTTTGTCTTTAAAAAAAAAGAAAGAAAGAAAAAAATTCTGGCTGCTGGTGGGGGTTGGACTGAAAGGCAGTCAGAGAGGAAGCAGGGAGACTGGATGTTGCCGTAATCCTGGCCAAAGGTGACTTGTGGAGAAAGGCAGGCTGCTGAAGGGGGTGGAGAATGTGGCCCCTTTCAATCTGGAGAGAGCTGCAGTACTAAGACCAGGAGGACACTATCCTTGGGGGAGAGAGGGTAGGTCCTCCTTAAATGGGACTATGGGGGACCAAAGAGACAAACTTATTCTCCAGTTTTCCAATAACTTCTCTTGCCAAGAAGCTGTCTCTGAGTCTTGGATTTGGGGATAGGGTCTTCTCACCTCAGGAGGCTTTTGGGGAATTGACAGTGTCATAGCCACAGGCCTCAGAAGCCACAGGGTTGCAGTTGGAGGGACTTGGCCCAGCAAAGGGGGCGGAGAAGGGCTGTGCAATCCTGGGCGCCCTTGGAAACCTCTGGGTAGGCCTCAGCCATCTGGGGGAGGTATTAGCAGAGTGTAATGAATATGACCCCACGGATTGGGAGGGAAGGCTTGTTCCTTCACGGGGTATGGCCTGACCTCTGCATGGAGCATAACGTCAGGCACCTTCCACCCCCAGGCCCCATCCTGGTCACTGGTCCCAGGCACAGAGTTTGGAAGGAGCCTGCTGCATCTCCTTTCTCCTCCTCCCTTTGTGTTCTGGGACCTGTGAAACCCCTTCTCTCTCATACCTCTCTCTCTGGGAGAAGGGAAGAGAGTTGGGCCCACCTCAGGCAGCCCAGGCCTTTCGACCCTGAATCCCCTGCAAGCCGGTGCTGGAAGTGCCCTTGGCGTCCTGCCTCTCATGACCATTCTCACTGCTCCATTTGACGAATGTGGACACTGAGGTCCAGGGAAGGGTGTGACCCGGCAACAACACTCCGGGTCGGACTCCAGGTCTGTCTGTGCCTTCTTCACTAGAGGAAGATACCCACAGCCTGGATGCCGGGAGAGCAGAGATGCGAGAGTGGAGGGGCGCTGATTGGCTCAAAGTTCTCTGGAGTTAACCAGTGGGAGACCAGGGCGTGACCGGGCTGTGGGCTGCCCAGCCGCTGTAGCTGGGTGACCCGGCGGTTCTTGCCTGCCCCAGCCGTTCCTGACCCTGCTCCTGTTCCCGGGCCTGTACCCCAGACTCGTCTCTAGGTCTGCTCGCCCTCCTTTCCTGTCGCCCCTGCCACGGGTCTGGAGCTCTACCTGGACCTGCTGTCCCAGCCCTGCCGCGCCGTCTACATCTTCGCCAAGAAGAATGGTGTCCCCTTCGAGCTACGCCCTGTGGAGCTGATCAAAGGTGGGCTTGGTGGGCGTCCCCGGAAGCGGGGAGGTTGTCTGGGTCCTGATGTGTAGGCGGAGTCCTGCCTGCCAGCGCCACTTTCCCCGGCCAGGTGTGCAGACTGATGGGGAGAGCGTCAGATTCTCCAATGTGGAAACGGTCGCATCAGTTATCACTTATGAATTTTAAAAGAACCTTGATCTTAGCCCACTGAATACAAAACTTGCTTCAAATACAAGTTAAGAGGCAGAGTGGGTACAGAGGAGGGGCAAGGAAGTGGAGTGGGGGCCAGAATGCTCCCCTTATCCCCTCCAGTGAAGTAGTCCCAGTCTCTTGAGTTTCTGCATCTACCAGTAGGAGAGAGTTGTTCTACTTGGATCCCCCCCAGGGGAGCGTCTCTATACTACTGCCCCTGCTTAAATCCCTTCCACTTTTAAGTCTTCCTTACCATTCTTCTGCTTTTTATTTTTCCTGCTTCTGAGTTGCTCTTTCTCATGGGAGTTCTCACTCAGCTGGATGTGCTGTTCCTTAGGGGTTGCAGGGCCCTGAGGGCCCTAGAAAGTCCTGTGACAAGGCAAAGGGGGGAGGCCAGCACCCTCACCCTGAGCTGCAGTGTCTCCTAGCCAAGAAAGATGCAGCTGGAGCAGAAATCAGTGGAGAAGGCAGGGCTATAACTGGATAGTAGAGCAAGTGCCAGAGCCAGAGCCTGCCCAGGGAGTCACCTGCTTTGATGAAGTCTTCCACCTGCTGCTCTTAGTACCACAGCTTGGGCTACCTGATGCAGGATAGGCTGGACATGGAGGCAGTTTCTAGGGGGAGAATGGGCAGGGGTGATTGTATCATTCAGTAGAAGAGCAAAGTGGTTCATAGGTAGACCTATGACCACGCCGGAGCCAGGCTTGACTGAGACCCTTGATCCACACCCATAACTGGCACCTAATGCAGCCTCCAGCACTGGCCTGGGCTGGGGAGTCTGTGAGGAAGTGAGTAAGACCTGGGTACCCTCACTGAGGAGGCAGCCTTGAGAGTTTGGCACAGAAAAGGAAGAAGAGCTGAGTCACTGGAGGCTGGGTGGCTGAATGGAGCAGGTGTTTCTGGCAAGAGTGAGGGTGACCTGAGGACTGCGGGCAGGTGTGGCTAGGGCTCTGCGGTGTGGACAGGTAACCCAGCCTGGTCTGAAGGGCCTGATTCCCACCTGTGATAGGAAGATGGGTCATCAAGGTCAAGCCTAGAGCCCAGGGAAGAGACTGGAAGGTCTGTCATATGAATGATAGGGTAGGCAGGTTAGGCTAGAGAAACCAGGGCTGTAGGAAAGCTCCAAGCTCATTAACACCTGGAGCAGCTGCTGTAAAACCACACACACAGGCAAGTGGCCTAACTATAGGAAATTTCACAGCTACCTGTTAGACTCTTTTTTTTTTTTGAATTGGAGTCTCACTCTGCTGCCCTGGCTAGAGTACAGTGCACACTCATGGCCACTGCAACCTCAACCTGCTGGGCTCTGGTGATCCTTCCACCTCAGCCTTCCAAGTAGCTGGAATTACAGGTGTGTGCCTCCATGACCAGCTAATTATTTTATTGTAGAGTCAAGGTCTTGCCAAGTTGCCCAGGCTGGTCTCGAATCCCTGGACTTAGGCACTCCTCTCGCCTGGGCCTCCCAAAGTGCTGGGATTACAGGTATGAGCCACTGCACCCGGTCCTGTTAGACTTTTATTGGACACACCTGCAGCAGTTTGGTCCTTTCATCCAGGATGCTCGTGGTCAAGAGCTGACCACCAAGGCAGGAACTAGCTTAGAGACCACCTGGAGCATGCGCATCAATAGCCAAGGTTAACTGAGATAATCACGACCCACTTTTATCTTCATTATATGCTCATTATAATATCATTAGCATTGTGGTTTTACTAAATCTTCACTCACCAGGGTGCCATAACAGTCCCTGTGCGACCCTATAAGGCCTAAAACTCCCCCACCTGACATGAGGGAGGAGTAACAAAGATTCAGCCCTAAAGCCACTCATTTACAGGAAAAGCCCACATAAAACCCACTCCTCAACACCCATAAAAATAAAAGTTGTAGCTCAAAAATGGTTGGGGGCTGAAGCAGCAGCTTTTTGTAGCCGGTTTCTGCCTACTCCCCTTTCTTGGGAGTGTAGTCTTCTCCACTTAATAAAGCTACTTTTTTTTTTTTTTTGAGTTGGAGTCTCACTCTGTCACCCAGGCTGAAGTGCAGTGGCACTCTCACGGCCACCGCAGCCTCAATCTTCTGGGCTCCAGCGATCCTTCTGCCTCAGCCTTCTGAGTAGCTGGAACTACAGACATGTGCTACCATGCCCAGTTATTTTTTATTTTATTGTAGAGATAAGGTCTCGCCAGGTTGCTCAGGCTGGTTTCGAACCCGCGGGCTCAAGCAATCCATTCGCCTCGGCCTCCCAAAGTGCTAGTGCTGGGATTAGAGGCTGAGCCACCAAGCCTGGTGAAAGCTACTTATTTATCCTGCTTCTCTGTGCATCTGTTTGCGAATTCATTTGAAACATGAATACAAGAACCTGATGTCGACCATCTCACGCTGGGAGCAACTCCCCCTCATCCTGGTAATGGATAGAACTGGCTGGGAGTAGGAAGTGGATTTGTTACAAGAAGAACATGGGACTGTATAGAACATTCCCACCAAACTGAGAAGGAGCCTAGAGACCAAAGAATGACTTGGTCAAGTCCAGCTTGGTGGGTAGATAAGTTTATTAGGACTTACATACAGGGCACTCCTGGGTGGCAGCAGAACAGCTCCAGAGATTGCCCTGTCACCCATCTCCAAGCTGTTTTTCAGCTAATTTTCAGTAGGCTCTGCCTACTGTATATGCTGAGATGCAATCACACATGTTGAAGCAGAACAATAGTAAGGAAGACACAAAAGATGTACAAGTGGAAGGGATCTAGGCAGGGGTAGGAGGATACCCCCTGGAGGGGGTTGGATTCAGGTAGTAGGTAGATGCAGATATCTTGGTATGTTTCCATATACAATCTGGGATGCTTAGGTTCTTGAGGATATTGCTCCTTGGCTGGACACTATGTTCTTGGTCCACCACCCAAGCTTTAGGGTTCAAATAGTGGACATAACACTCTTAAGTAACCTGGATGGGGGGAACCCATCACGCTACAGCTCCAGGGAATCACCCTTCCCCCATGCTCCAAGGGGTGAGTACAGGAAAGGTAGGCCACTGACAGGGTCAGGGTCTGTGATCCAGTGACTGGCGCAGTGGCCTTCTCTTCCCTAATGTCCCCCAAATAGGGGTCTCAGAAACCTAGAGCCTGGATTTTGGGGCGGAGGGCAGGGGGAGACTCCAGAGGACTCAGGGATTTCCTCCCCGCTCACCTCTCTGATCTCTTCCTAGACCAGCACTACAGCAGTGCCTTTGCCAAAGGGAACGCCCTGAGGATAGTGCTGGCCTTGAAGGATGGGGACTTCACTTTGGCGACTTCACTTTGGCTGAGAGGTAATGGGTCCCTGGGCTGCTGCTGGACCAGGTGGGGCAGTCGGCCATTTGTGTGTCTACTGTTGATGGCTTGGGTCACGGCTTCTAGGCCCACGCACCTGAGCCAGCCCCAGGGTGGAGAGCAGGCTGAGGCAGGTAGAGGTGCCCAGGGCTGGGAGAAACTATAGAAGTTATGGCATCCCCACGCCCCACCTGCATTGTACAGTGAGGAAACGGAGGCTGGATGAGATAAGGGGTTTGTAAAGGTCACAGGGCTCAGCCTGCATCTTGCCTACAAATCTTATGGGGCAAGTGTTATTTCTCTGGCCCTGGGGCTTGAGCAGTGAACACGTCTATGCCCTTGCCCACATTCTAGAAGGGAGAGCTGACAGTAACCCATGTGAACATGTAACACATCAGGGGTGGATGAGTGCTGGGGAGAAAATAAACAGGGTGAGAGAGGGGGTGGGTGCAGTTTTGAATAAGCTGTTGAGGGAAGGGCCCTTGGAGGAGATGATGTCTAAGCAGACACCCACAGGAACAGAGGTGCCAGCAGGAGGGGAAGAGTGTTGTGGTTGGAGGGAAGAGCAAGGGCGAAGGCTCTGAGGTGAGTCGATGCTCACCTCAGGGGGTTGCAGGCTGGGGAGTAAGGGGGCGGGCGTTGCTGGGGTGAGAAGAGCTGGAGGTGAGGGCAGAGGGCAGAATGGGAGACAGGGCAGGCTTGCGTTCTTGCCACAGGTGGATGGGGCCATTGGAGCATTTTAAGCAGAAGAGAGCTGTGATCTGACATATTTTAAAGGATCCCTCTGGCAGGGAGAGAAGGCTGCTGTGGTCACCTGGTATCTGGTGCTGGATCCCCATGGTAGTGGTGGTGGCGCATGGTGGGAGTTGTCAGTTCTGACTGTTCTTGAAAGTCAAACTGCAGGGTTTGCTGAAGGGTTAAAAGTGGGTGGGACAGATGGGAGCCAAGGTCTGGTTGGTGGCTGAATGGAGGTATCCTGTACTGCAACCACATAGTAGCTATGTAGAGCTATATCACAGAGCCATTTGGCTCCAGAGCCTGTGGTCTGTGATGAGCTCTGGGGCTCAGGCTGCATAGGCCAGACACCCTATGGGGTGTGATGAGGCTCTGGGGCTCAGGCCAGACACGATGGGAAGTGAGGCCAGGGGAAGACTTCCTGGGGAAAGGGACTGGAGGCTTTGGACATGTAGAGGTGAGGTGGGACAGGGTGGAAAGCACTGCCCCCATGTCCCTTAGGAGGCCTTTTCCCAGCCCTAGGAGAGTGTCAGGAGGCAGTGGCCTTGCTCATGGCACTGTCCATGCTTGGGATATGTTGGAGAGTAGCATCCAAGTTGCTTTTTTCCTTCAAGACTCACATTGGGTACCCCCTCTTCCTGGAAGCCTTCCCTGAGCTCTCGGCCCCTTCTGAAATTCATGCCATTTTGCTTACTTGCTGTCCTTAGCTCAGATGATGGGCTGGCCCAAGGTAGAGCTGTGTGACCCTGGGCATTACCCAACCTCTCTGAGCCTTACATTCCTGCTCTGTATCATGGGGATAGTGAAAATGCCCCCACAAAATATATGAAGAGTGATCAGGGCATATCTTCTACTCCTGCTGTGACCTCCCAGTGTGCCATCTTGCTATATCTGAGCCACAAATACAAAGCCCCTGACAACTGGTACCCCCAGGAACTGCAGGCCTGCACCCGTGTGGATGAGTACCTGTCGTGGCAGCACACAACTCTGGAGGATCTGCTCCCAGGCCGTGTGGCAGAAGGTGAGCCATGGGGGACAGGGACACCAGATTCAGGAATGCCAGAGACTGACTGATCCATTTCCTCAGAGGGGAAACCAAGACACAGAGTCAAGGAGTACTTCTCTCAATGTGCCTTGATTCCTGGGTGACAGAACGAGACCCTGTCTCAAAAGGGGGAGGGGGAGAAGGATTAAAGGTAAAATAAGCAAGAAACTGGAGCAGATCTTCGTAAAGATGTATTAGAAAAAAGTAATGCTTTTTTTTTTCTTTTCTCTTTTGAGTCAGGGGCTCACTGTCATCCAGGCTGAAATGCAGTGGCATGATCATGGCTCCCCGCAGCCTTAACTTCCTGGGCTCAGGCAATCTATCTGCCTCAGCTTCCTGTGTAGCTGAGACTACAGGCATACGTCACCATATCTGGCTAATTTAAATTTTTTTTTTTTTTTTTTTGTAGAGACAAGGTTTCTTGCTATGTTGCCTTGTCTGGTCTCAAATTCCTGGCTCAAGCAATCCTCCTGCCTTGGCCTCCCAAAGTGCTGGGATTAAAGTTATGAGCTACCATGCCTGGCCCAGAATTCTTTAAGATGCTTTAAGAAACCCATCATACAACCTGGGTGTAGTCATCCAAAAAAAAGAAAGAAAAAGAAACCAAACAAAAACAAACCCCACACACGTTTGACATGTGTTCTCTAATGTTTGCAGTGTGGTTACACAGTGCCTGGCACACAGCCAGTGCCCTGTGTTATGAGGGAGCATGACACAGGCTTTCTTATGCCCCGCTGCAGGGACAGTACCACCGCTGTAGAGGGCTCTTTGGCAATGTGTAGGTTTCCATGCCTTAACTGTGCCTTCCTTGAGCCTCTAGGGGCTGAGGGCAGAGCCCTCTCAAGTTGGTGGGGGAAGGAGCCTGGTGCATTTGAGGGCTGAGTGATTGTCGACCCTTGCTACTCAAAGTTTGGTTCACGCACCAGAAGCATCAGCAACACCAGGGACCTTGCTGGAAATGTAGAGTCTCAGGCCCACCTTGACCTACTAATTGGGTATATGCATTTTAACCAGATTCCAGAGAAAGAGCACACACATTCCCACTTGAGAAGATGGGACAGTAGGAGGTGGAGTGGGAGGGCTTCATTTTAAGGTCTTTGTTATGAGGGCAGCAGGGAGCCATGGAAGGCTTTAGGAGGAAAGAGTATGAGCAGACTGGAATTGCAGAAGGATCCCATTGGCTGCCCTGAGTGAGGACCAAGGGGGAGGTGGAGGTTGTCCCTGTTTGAGTAGGAGATGAAGGATCCTGGTGGCCAAGGGTGGGAAGAGGTAGGCAGAGGTGAGGAGAAATCTGAAGGACTGGTGAGGATGGGATGAAGGTCAGAGCAAGGGTGGGCTTTGGGCAGACCCGGACTGGCGGAGGCCATGACAATCCAGGACTCAGCATGGAAACCGAATGAAGACACCCTTCTGGAAGGCAAAGCCCCAGAAGGGATCCGTGTGTGTGGCAAAGCCCCACGGAAAGTCTTGAGGAAAGTTCTACATGAATGTCCTGTGACTCATGGTTGCCTGTTTGTTCCCATTATATTGTTCAATAATAAAGCAGTTAATGCTTCACCATTAGCCATGCCTTAGGAAAGGCAAATAGCAACCCAACGGGTCACAATGACCCAACCAATTACTCCAAAACCTACTGTGACAAAGTGTACTTTTAACTGTTCTACTTTATGTTAAAACTATGGTATCGAGAAATGACAGAAACTGAGGTACAAACTAAAACAAGCACAGTTAAGCCATACAAACAACACCAGAGTAGCCACAAGTTTAAAGCTTTGAAACAATATCACAAACCCTTGCCAACTGTTAGAGCAGGCCCCCATATAGGCTATAATAGGAATGGTAGAATTTGGTGGGCACCTAGAGGAAAGAGTAGTATACAAAACTTAGAATGGCTTGATCCCCCCACTACTTTATACAGGTGCATATGATGATGATATGGTTAGAAAAGTTTGAATAGATGAAAGACATGTTAAGTAGAAAAACTTATCTTTATAGGAAAAAATAAAACGCAGTGGGCCCCCTTGGTGCCTGCTTTCTAAAACCCAAAAAGGTCAGCACTTAGTAAAAAGTAAAATGATTGGTATATAGAAATAAATATAGACACTGCCTCATCACAGACAGCGACCTTTAAATTAAAACTATATAAAGGTTATATGCCTAATACCTTTATATCTATATAGACTATTTACCTTTATAAAGCATAAGTTTTACTTTCCACTTGCTAACCTTTTGACTAATATTAACCTTGCCGTTTTAATAAGTTACCACTTCCAAGAATAGCTAGTTTTTTATATGTAGACATTATTAAACCGTATAATTATCAGAATTGTAAAATCATTAGTACATCATACAATCGTTTCGATTGTTGATTTTTTCCTTTACTGTTAACTTTCTGCTAAGTGTGTGCCAAAAATTAATGATATAAATAAATCAGCACTGGTGTGCTTCAGTGCCAGAGTGCCTGAAAAGAAACTCTGGTCACGACTCTTCCTTCCCTCGCCTCATCACGCCTCCTTCTCGGGTCCCCGTGAACCCCCCGGAGCTGGCCTCCAGCACCTGACCCCCTCTCTGCTTGCTGGCCTACCGGCTGATATTCCCTGTGTTCCTGGGTGAGTTGGTGCCCCCTGAGATGTTAGCAGTCACTTTGGCTGAGCTGGACAGCTGCCTGTAGCTGCTTGAGGACAAGTTCCTGTGGGATCAAGCCTTCCTTACTGGGTCCCATATCTCCATAGCTGACTTGGTGGCCATCACAGAGCTGATGCATGTGAGTGCTATGGGGTGGAGTGGCCCATTGGGCAGTTTGGTATCTAGGGAGGGAGCTGACACCCCAGCTCACATTGTTCTTCCTGGCTGTGGGAATGTAGGTGAGTTACTTCCCCTCTGAGCCTCAGTGTCCCCATGTATAAATTGAGATTTTACATCCCTAACCACAGGGATATTGTGGAGCTTCCTGGTGTCCCCTGGGAGAGGGGCCCCCCAGCCCATTTCACATATGGTAGAGGAGGAAAAATCCAGTCAGGGAACCCCCTAATGCAGGTTGTGCTGCCTTGTGCTTGGGGGTGCCCAACCCTTCTGCTTGGCTCGCTCTTCCCATAGCCTGTCAGCACTGGCTGCCAAGTCTTTGAAAGCCAACCCAAGCTGGCCATGTGGCACCAGCGTGTGGTGGCTGCGGTGGGGAAAGACCTCTTCCAGGAGGCCCATGAAGCTATCCTGAAGACCAAGGGCTTGCCTCCAGCAGTTCCTGCCACAAAGGAGAGGCTGGGACCCTTAATGAAGGTTTTGTTGCCATGAATGGGTATCCCATGTTGGCAGAATAACTAGATGGAGCTGCCTATCTCCCTGGCTATAAGGAAGACATGTCCATACAGGCTCTGGTCTAATGTTCCCTCCAGCATTGTGATCTTTTTGTCTCCCCATCCCACTTTTACCCTTCCATTCCAGCTTCCCTGTGACCTTTGGAAAGAGTTTTAGTAAACACTTATTTGACCCTGTCCCTCTTCTGTGTGAACCTGGTTGGTTCCTCATTGCCCCCACTCCTCCAGAGTGACGCTTCTGGCTGCAGAGGAGTCTTCAGACTCCTCTCTGGCCTCCCCCCTCGGTCTTCTCACCTTCTTCGCCAAGTGCTCCTCTGGGTTTTTTGGCATTTGGCACCGTGTCACTTCTCCATAGAGACTTCCCTGATCTCCCCAGCCCCAGTCCAGGTCAGTTGATGCCTCTGGACTTTCAGTCCTAGTGTTTTTCTTCCTTAGTCCCAGTAGGGAGCAGGCTCCATGCCTCCTGGGCCAAGCATGTATCACAGATAGGGGGTGATTTTAGGGGGAAAAGCAACTCAAAGTACATGAAAGGTGTCATCCAGAAATAAGTGGTAGAGAAGCAAACAGTAGGACTTCAATAAAACTTAGTGTTTTGTTATACTAAAAAAAAAAAGTAAAGAAACAAAACAAATAGGAGGTACCCTGGTGAAGAGATGTCTGAGTCATGGCTAGGATGGCTAGCTGCAGTGGCTCATGCCTGTAATCCCAGCACTTTGGGAGGCAGAGGAGAGAGGATTGCCTGAGTCCAGGAATTTGAGACCAGCCTGGGCAATATAGCAACACCTCTTCTCTATATTTCATTAAAAAAATTAAAATTAAAAGAAAGAGGTGTCTGAATCAAGAATGGCCTAGGTCTGCCTGCAACACTCTGGGGTGATGCAGTCTCCCACAGGTGCGGTGTAGGGCTAGTTCATGAACATCCTTGCAGGGTATTTCCTGGCCCCCCAGGTGCTGCAGAGCAGCCTTGCTCTCCCAGGTCTATTCATCACCCTGACCACTGGCTTCTCTTCTCCAGGCTCCATAGTGGGTCCCAGACTTGTCACCTGTTCCTGTCTTCTCCCCTTAGGATTGTCACAACTTACCTGTCCAGTGTCTTAGACCCTCTAATATCTCTCTTATCTAATAAATAAGCTGCTCACGGGACAAGATTATGACAGAGACTCTTGGCCACCCTGCCTTTCCATAGTGGCTCTTTTAATATGCACACTTATATAGAAGTTTATATGTGTAATTGAAGTTGTACATATTTACCCAATTTTAGTGATATTTGAAATTACAATTCAGAAAATTTTACAACACCAATGAAAGACTCATGTTCAGCCACACTAACAGATTTCCACTTTATTTACTTTTTTACTTACTTATTTATTTTGAGTTGGAGTCTCACTCTATTGCCCAGGCTGGAATGCAGTGGCATGCTCACAGCCACCACAGCCTCGACCCACTGTGCTCAGGTGATCCTTCAGCCTCAGTTTTCCAAGTAGCTGGAATTACATGCATGCACCACCACGCCCAGCTAATTTTCTGATTTATTGTAGAGATGAGCTCAGGCAATCCTCTCACCTCAGCCTCCCAAAGTGCTGGGATAAGCCTTGCACCCGGCCCGATTTCCACATTATTTAAACACCTTTTGTCAACCCAGTAGATAGTGGCTCACCACCGGCACAAGAAGCTACAAAGGTAGATGACTTTGTAGCGAGGGTCTCTCTCTTTCAGCCCCGACCACACATGCCATCAGGTTTTCATTTCACATTGAACATGAAATTGCCTGACTTTGAAAAGGCAACTTACATTCAAAAAAATCTTATAACTCCCGTGGGGATGGTTGTTAGGGTCGAGCCTGGGGGAGGCCCCTACAAGTGTGTTTGTGTTTGAGGGTGTTCAGACTTCTATCCAAATGTGGGCTAGGAACCAGGAGATCACAACGTTGAAATCCGGAGGAAAGAAAAATCTCTGTCCATGGGATGGGAGCTGGAGACGGGCCAGGCCGCGGTGGGCGGGGCCGAGCGAAAGGACTTCCGGAAAGCTGAGCCAGAGCACGTGACTATTGTCGGCAGAAGCGGGGTGTAGCCTCGACAGCCAATCAGGGAGCGTTGAGTCTCCGCTCAGCCAATGGGGACCTGGTTTACGTGGCGCCCGCCCTAGCTCTCCGGCCTGCGAGCCTTGGCTGGGTTCTTTACCTTCCAAGGCTGCTATCGCTTTCCTGCGGAATATGCCATTCCTGGAGCTGGACACGAACTTGCCCGCCAACCGAGTGCCCGCGGGGCTGGAGAAACGGCTCTGCGCGGCCGCTGCCGCCATCCTGGGCAAACCTGAGGACGTGAGCGTGGGCCAGGGAGCACGGGGCGAAGGGAGGTTGGTGCACCAGGGGTCCGGCTCTGTCTCTGCCCCGCCTTCCCCACAGCGACCCTGACTCTCTCCTTAGGCACCCTTCCAATCCGCCCACCAAGCGGATTTATGCCTTATGATCTTGTGACTCCCCTTCCCCTTGTCTGCCCCTTGTCACCCTCCTAGCCATGACCCCGACGTGACCTCCAGGGAAGACACGTGACCAAGTCCCTGACCCTGCGGGCACCATGCGTTTAGGCGCTCGCGCGCTGGGGTCCCCAGAGGTAGCCTGGCCGGCCCCAGCTTCGGGCGAAACTTTCGTGTCTCTTGCAGCTCGTGAACATGGCGGTGCAGCCAGATCTGACCATGGCGCTGAACGACTCTGGATCCCTGTGCGCAGCTGTTCGTCTCCTCCATTGGCGTGGTGGGCACAGCAGAGGAGAACCGCAGCCACAGTGCCCGCTTCTTCGAGTTCCTCACCAAGGAGCTGGCCTTGGGCCAGGACCGGTGCGTAGGGGTAGGGTAGCAAGAGGATCCGTTTTGGGACTGCTGTGTGACTAGAGGCTAGTGATCCCACCCCCCGGGGAAAACATACATTCCTTGTCCTGCCCAGGAAGGACACATTCGGCCCCTTGACCCCTCAGGTCCCTCAGGTCCATCTTCAGAGTGGCTGCAGGATTGAATGAATTTCTGACCCTGTTCCTCAGTGTTTCCATCTGTGAACTGGGAAGGCTGTATTTGAACCATTCCCTAGGGGCACTGCAAGGGCTATGTGGGATGGTCTTGCAATGCTCTACCTTCCTTGGCACCTGACAGCGTAGGTACTCCTGACTGAACTCTGATTTTCAAGGAGAACTTGTCCGGGCTGGCCAGAGAAATTCTGGGTATGTCCTGTGGCCTAACTAGGTTGCAGCTGAGGCTCTGGGGATGGTCACAGAGTAGTGAAAAAGAGCATTGGCCTGGATGTCTAAACACCTAGATTCTGGACTCCAGCACAGCTAGGGGACTCCAGGAAAACCTGGAAATAAGTTATTTCAGGTTTGCAACCTCCTCTTTTGTGAATACAGTGTGGGTGGGTGAAATGACCTCCCTCCCCCACAAGAAGCCCCTACAGCCCAAACCTGGCATTCTGTGACAGGGTTAAAATTTCCTCTCTTGGGTGAAAAATATTTTTGAGATAAGTACATGATGAAGTATGGGCATGAGAAGCTTGAAAGGACCTTCCATAATGGAACCTTTGTTGTCCCAGAAAGGCTACTGAGGAATAGCTGATCCTGGTGGGTGCTCATACCTGGTCCGCAAGCTAGGGAGAGAATACAGTCAGCCCTCTATAACTGTGGGTTTTACAATGCTAAATTCAACCAACTATGGACTGAAGTATTTGAGAAAAAAAAAAAGGACAATTGTATGTATACTGAACACGTACCACCTTTTTTCCTTATTCTCTGAACAATACAGTATAACAACTATTTAAATAGCGTGTACATTGCATTAGGTATTATAAGGAATCTAGAGATGATTTAAAGTATATGGGAGGATGTACCTAGGATATATGCAAATACACCATTTAAGGGGCTTGAGTATCTGGATTTTGGTATTCTTGGTCCTGGAACCAATTCCTTACAAATATCAAGGGACAACTATAATTTTAACAATAAATAATGTACAAATACCTACTACATGATTCCATTTGATCCTTATGAGCTCTGTCCATGCTCCCCTTGTGTAAATATGCCATCCCCATGAGGTAGGTATCTCCATTATGCTGTTTTACGATGGGAAGATAAAGGCTGTCATACACCCCTCCTCTGCCTCCGGTCAGGCTGTACCAGGCTCTGGTGCTCTTCCCTGGAGACTTCTTGTCACCTCTGTGAGAGGGACATGTTCATTCCACATACATTAGTCAGGGGTCACCTTGTGGTTGGCCTTGAGCCAGGCTTTGAGAAAACAGTTGACTGAGGCACTGTGCATGCCCTTAGGGAGCCTGCAGTCAGGAGGAGGTAGGCTGCCCTGGGTCCACAGACCAGTAGAGATGATTGCACTTGCAGCATACACACTGAGGCTGCTGTGTTGAGGGTGTGTCCTGGGTGGGCCATGCTGATATTCGGTCATCATCCAATGCCTGACAGTCCCACTATCCTGTGGGGGTCCAGGAAGATCATTGCTGGGATGAGCAGGCTTACCAAATGCCTGGCGGGCTGAGACAGGCTGTTCTGAGAGCCCACAGTGGGAGTACCTGGTAGGGGTCTTGCAAGGTAAGGTGTTGTTGAAGAGCTAATGACATCTTTTTCTCTTATCTCCTGAAGGATAATTATCCGCTTTTCCCCGTTGGAGCCCTGGCAGATTGGCAAGAAAGGGACGGTCATGACTTTTTTATGATTGGCATAGAGGAATCCTGGGCATCTGTGAGCTGGTTGCCTTTTCCAGAGAGGCCTTCTGTCAGAGCGAGGGCCTGGTAGATACCAGCTTCAGGCACCCGCCTCACGCAGTCTTGTCTGTGACCTCATAGTCCTCTTACCCATCCTCATGCCAAATAAATGAAGAGAACTTCATTGTTCAAACATGACTTCTTTACCTTCCTGTACTCTTCCTGGGCATCCTGGGCCACCATGGGCAGCAGGCTTGTGGATGAGGAGGACATCTTAGGGAACCTGGAGGTAGGGTGATTTCCATCTTCAGGGCTGCTGTCTGATATGTTTAGATCTGGGGGTAGTGTGATCAGCCTGGAACCTTTGCTGTCCATGCCCATGTGCAGGCCTGTGGGGAAATGCAGGCAGCTGGTCTAGCCTAGACCTTCCTGCAGACTCTGCTGACCTCCTGAGGTTCCTTTCTTCAGCCTTGGGTGGCCTGGGCCATTCTGTCTCCATAATCTGCTATACCATGCCAGGGAACAGGGCAGGCTGGGCTTCAGGACTTGCTAATTCTTGTCTTTAGTGTGCTAGTGAATACCAGATTCAGATTCTCAGTCTGTGTGTATACATCATTAATAAAATTCATTTCTAATGGAATATGGCTGCTGTTTGTACCTGACCATCCCGAGGACTCTTATTAAAAGCTAGGTCTTAGGCCAGGCTTGGTGGCTAAGCCTGTAATCCCAGCACTTTGGGAGGCCGAGGCGAGTGGATTGCCTGAGCCTGTGGGTTCAGACCAGCCTGGGCAACTTGGCAAGACCTCATCTCTACAATAAATCAAAAATTAGCAGGGTGTGGTAGCATATACCTGTAGTTCAGGCTACTTGGAATGGTGAGGCGGAGTCCAGAAGGTAGACACTGGGGTGGCCATGAGTGTGCCACTGCACTCCAACCTGGGTGAGCTAGGTCTTGGAGTTTCCTTGGCTACCAGGCCCAACTGCTTTTGCATGCATTCTTCTGCCAACATGTTTCATGGGTGTCCTGCTTCCACAAGGAGCTCCGGGAATATTTGTGGGTTGAATATGAATAAATGGTTGCAGTCCCCAAGGATGGGATTCAGGCCTAGCTCTCCCAAGACCACAAGGCAGCAGTCCCTGTCTATCCTGCCCATATTGAATCTACCATCCTCACTGTAGTAAGAGTGATATGTTATCTGCTTGCTTGTTTGGACTGGGCTCTCCCCACTCCAGAGCTCTCTCTCCATCATGGCCCTGTGCTTTTCCTTATGGGAATACTGTGCTGCCTGAGGCTCCTGCATGATCTGCAGTTTCTCACCCCAGAAACTGCCACACAGCTCCCTGCAGCTTGGACTGCCCTTCCCACCTTTTTTCAACTGTTTCACTCCAGCACGGTTGGTGGAAGCTCTGTCCAAGACTGCACATTAATTCCACGCAGTTTTGAAACTGTTTATGCTTCTGTTCACCTGCCCTACTCTTCTGAAAGTCAAGTTTTGTGACTCACTAATTTTTGAAACATCTAGCAAGTCTGTACATATTTATTGTACTGAACTGACTGAGGTCTTCACCATGGTTTTATTGTCTTTATTAAGACTAAAAAGAAGCCATACCATTCGTTCCTATTTAAATCATCCTTGCCGGACTCGAGTAGCAATGAGTCAACCACAGTGGGAAGCCCTTTCCCGAGACGCCTCCTTATTATCTCCGAAGACAGTAACCTCTTTCAGCATGGGACCCTTGTCAGAAGCACTTCGACTCTGGAACCTCTTCAGCTCTGGAATTCTGACCCTGCTCCCCATCCCCTGTTCGTTTACCGCGTCTTCTTTTTTTCTGTTTCCATAGTTTGTATCTGTGCCTTTTGGGCTTCCAGTCCTTATCGCGGAGGTCGGGCGCGGGTAACACAATGAATAAGGATAAAACCCTTCCTCCCTGGCCCCCCAAGTTTCCCTGCCTTCAGAGCACCTTTCCCAGGTCGTGGCAACAACACGCAGCCTATCCATTAGCGACTCTTCGGGGCCAGGCGCTGAGCACTGCGAGCGGTGGAGCCCAGAGTCCAACCGCGAGCTGGCGCGCTGGGCACTGGCGCGCAAGGACCGAGAGTCCGGCTCCGGAACCAACAAGCGCAAGTCCCCAGTTTGACAGACGTGCCGAGGCGCTCGGAGAGGTGCCGCCCAAAGGCCCACAGCGCCTGTCTGGCTGGAGAGCGGCTCGGGAGCCTGCGCTGATTGGCTGGTGGAGCAGTCCCTGGGGCCAATGGGAGCGCGCTTTGTTGTCAGGCGCGCAGCCGGCCGGCGCGGGGGTCGGGTGGACAGGTAGTTGCTGTGGAGACGCCTGGTGGGTTCCGAGGCTGCTGGTTTGGGGTCAGCACCTGGGT